CTTTACTTTGTGAAATAGATCAATTGAACATAATTCCAATGATGCTCATTTCACAATCCCAAATCCTTACTGTAAATGTAAGAATACAAGATTCTTTGCCATTTACTAAAATTTGTTAGATTCTAAACTTATATGCATTGATCCGTTTGTAATGACTATGCACAAAATCCACAAAGACTTGGCAACATACATTACAAAGTATTCCAATGGAGAGCAATTCTATGGAAATGAAGTCTCACATTCAAAGTACATTCCTTTGAACATCCTTTTTGCATTAAGTTTTCTAATCTTACACAGATTTGAAGAACTACTTCCACCTATGGAAACATTTTCATATTCCCATTTTTGATTATCGCTTTTGAACAAGAGTTGCCTCTTTTCAGAATATGTCAATATGGTGCTTCCAAAATTAACACTATAATTCCAACTGTCCATGAGTAACCAATCTTTGGTAAACCTCAGATTGTCCTCGACAATTGCTTAATCATTTTTGTCATATCCAGTTCTAGTCCTTTTCCCTCTTAATGCCCTATGCATTTGGAAAATTTAGAACGGATGAATATTACAGCACATGTAATCGATCCTATATCCAAAGCATATGGGACACGATTCATGATGTCTCACATAAAGACATGATACTAGACCAGTCTTTTGCTGTAATATTTCTATTTCTATTTGCCATGTCCTCATAGTTCGAATTATGAAAAGGGATGTCGTGATCATAATCGAAATTTAGAACGCAAATAATGTAATCATGACTAAATTTGATTAAAATCTCAATCTAAGCTTTTAGAATTGGGATGAAGTATAATTTCCTCTCCCTTAACTATAGAAAAACAATTTTTCAAACCCTGCAACTTTGCAAATTGAAACTTTTTTTTTCTATAATTAACATTGCTAACTTGCAAAACTTAACATAATAATCATGCTCCCACTAACATGATAATTATTAGCATAACACTTATGCTCCCACTAGCTTTGACATGTATCCAGAAATCAACTGGACTTCTAGAAATCAATACTTTATTGACTTTCTTACCAAAGTTCAGATTTCTGATACGAGATGCTTTGATAGGACTTTATCAAAATCATACACCTTTCCTTAGATAGCTCACATGTGTGTCTAAACAATTATGAAGAGGGATTTCGTAATAATAATGTTAGACCTTTTCCATTCTCACTAGTCCATGTTAGTGTGCCGGTTAACCATACACGCTCCACTAACGACTTTGAAAATGCAAATATCAGAATTTCTATCTACTTAAAATCTACTTGGTGAAAGCGTTTCCTCACCATCATTTTCATGAATCGGAGAGAAACCTTATGACACTTAGATTTTTATGGTGTATGTGTTCCTATCCATGTAAATTTGTCATAACCATAATCACAAGACAAGGTTAGTGAGAAATCTAAACTCATATGGACCGAACTTGTTTTAATATTAGTTTTCTTGCCACCCGGCAGCACAAGAGCCTACCATTGCTTCCAAGTAGTTATGCAAACAACTAAGAACTCATAGAACTCACATGCATAGTCAATTTTAACTGGAATGGGCACAAAAACAAGAATATGTCAACACGATGGGCTATAACCCTCAAGTCGTGTGCTAGTGATAAACAATACCCATGATCGGTTCTTGAAACTTTTCAAGATCTTTAAGACTCCCACTGACCTCTTGACATATAAGATTCTCTTGTCAAGAACCATTCCTTGACAAAACAAATATTCAAGAGTTAATGCGGATTCTTATCAAGACAAACACTTCACACAATTGGCTTTAGTTGGTCTTTGTTTTATCCAAAACATCACAACTTACCAATTTCAAATGTACTAGAGTAAGAAAACATTTTACTCTACATTTGATAAGTGTTACAAACCTTCTTAAGATTATGTCACTCAAGTTACAATCTTGGAGTATTACTCTAAGACTCAATTTTGGAACGAATTATGATTCATCTTTTGATTTAATCTATTTCAACAATTCACGATTCCTCTTCTTAGTCAAACAAATGCACTAAGATTTCCTTAGAGGATCAATT